CCCCCCCCCCCCAAAAAAAAAATAAATAAATAAATAAATAAAAAAAGACATGCATTTGTTGAATTATAGATATGTGGTACCTTACTACATCTTTATTTACAAGTGATTCATCGCAAAACAAGGACAGAAGAAGGGGTGGGGCATTCTCTCATCCAAAAAAGTATACTCTCAAGCTAGTACAGTTAATGGGAACAAAATATCAATAATAAAATTACAAATCATGTCAGCACTAATTTTCTCCAACACTGGGATCTCAATCCACATAAAATTACTAGTGGTTTGAAATTTTTCATGTTATGCAGAAGATGTAGGTAGCTTTTTTTTCAGTAAATTTACATTCTATGAACAATAAGTTGATGAAATGACTTTGAACAATATTTACTGCTAAACACTATTCCGAAAATAGTTTTCATAAACATGTATATTATGTTCAGCCCTGGTCTCTCTTTTACCAAACTCTACAGAGAAATTCTTTGTAGTACCCATTAAGGTCTCCATTTATTTCAACCAAGCAAGGCCCTAGCTGTTCAAGTTTTTTTTTTTTCTTTTCTGTCCCCACATTATTTGATTGGGCTACTAACATGCTCAAGCCAAATCATGTTAGTTTTTGTAATCATTCACTTCATAAGTGTTACTATAGTTTTCTCTCATACAGTTGTTCCTAACCCAATCTTTTCTTGCAAGTCCACTAATCTATCCCAGCATTCCCATATGCTCTACACTGCTCTTTTTTGGCACTTGACTGGCCAATAAAAACTACCACCTGTGCAAAGCATCTTGTCTGCACAGCTTGAATCCTATGTATGATCTCCCCTGTAACGGATCTAATATGCCTAAACTGTACAACTTCTAGCATGATGTTATTCTGAAATTTCACCTTTAAACATTGCTAATTTGCATCTTATTATGTACATTTCCTTACATTATATGTACATCAATTTAATTGCACTTAACCAAAAAACCATAGGACCCAAAAAGCTTGAAAGACATCATATTATCAACATGATCAGCTAAGTAAAACACTCAATTCAGGTCCAAAGCTATCAAAATATTAAAGAAATATACAAAATGAAAAATCACAATTGATATGGTGAGCCAGAGTAATCATAACTCACCTTGGTATTGTAATTTCATAGGGAAATGAAACAGCACCATCAAGATTTGGTATTGGTGGAACATGATCCTTCTTCTCATTAACAAATTTAATTATCTGAAATAAAACCTCACGAAGCGATGCCTCAAGCGCTGCACTTCGAGCATTTCTATCATCCAATGGTCCCTCTACTCATAAGAAACACAGTAAAACAGGCACCCCAACAAAATGTTAGTGAATGTGTATAGAAACTAAATTCACGGTAGGAATGAAACATGTTAAGAGATTTAATTCAACGAACAATCAAGCAACTGCACCTCCAGGATCAACAACTTTGGAATGATGATACTTGCTGGAATGCACCTTTGGATGCTGAGCTACATTCAGATTAATATACCACTGCTCCCAATACAAGCGTTCAATCTTGTTACTGAACCAAGATGCCTGTTTGTTCTTCACCTCATAGAAAGATAAACATATCTGCATCATCCAATTCACAACCCTTTAAAAACAACCTAATTACAATAAAACAATGACCAAATTATACCAACACCCCATATTCCCAGAAGTTTCTTGAGATTTCACATTACCCCTTTCCTTTTAAGTTTACAGCAACCCTTTTATAGTGATACACAATGTGTCAATGAATGCAATGTTTTTGTTGGAAAAATAAGGGAGTGCCAGTGTAATCTATTTCAAACAATTAAGGGAATTAATGCAAGGATAAAAATATAGTTGGGTATCAGGGGAATTTGACAAAACCTTAAAGAGTGTCTGTCAGTCTAATTTGCTCTAAACAAACAAAATTCAAATAACCCAACTAGCACCATTGTCACAGCATAACTGACCTGACTCTTTTTATTTGGATGCTTCTCCACCCAACAAACGAACTGCTCAATCTTCTCATCTATTTTCTTTTCAAGCTCTGCCTCCCCACATTGCACCTACACACCAAACGTGGCATAAAAAACAGAACACAACACAGTTATAGACATTTTTGGCGCATTAATTAAACGACGTTTCAAATTGAGCAACGCACGAGTGATGATAGCAATAAATTGAGACCGGAAACCTACATAAGTGATGTCAAAAAGCTCCAAGTCAACGTCTTTTGGGCGGACGAGACCCAAAGCGCGATGAAAGACGATCGTGTGCAATATGCCTGCAACGCCGGTAGCCCAGTTATCGCAATTCAACAAAACGCAAGCATAATAAGATCATCATAGTGGAAAAGACAGTAGCGCAATTACATCGCAAAACCTCGCGAATCTCGAAATGCTCCAGTTCCAGTTCCTTGAGCTGGCAAACTTCACAGTTCATGATTGGACGAAACCCTAGGAGAGTTGTTGGGGAAGAGAAGGGAATGCGAGGAAGTAATATTAAAAGGGTATAGCGTAAGCGTGTAGTGTAAAGTATTTGAGTATTTGTGATTCTACTGTAATCCAAGTTCCAATTACTTCTGGTTGGAGCAATCAGAGCGAGGAAGAAGATGACTTTACTTTTTTAAGAGAAAGGATTAAATACCTCACGGGTGATGATAGCAACAAATTCAGATTGGAAAGTGGAAACGTACACACTACTAATACTATTGATCGTAAATTTGATTATAAATATATATCTTTTATTCTCCTAAAATATATATATATTTTTCCCTTCTAATCAATAGCATAATATCATTGTGCTTTGTTTGGGAACGGAAGAAATTGAAGAAAATAAAAAAAAAATTGATAAGAAATAAAATTTATAGATATTTGGTAAAATAAAATTAGATGAGAAATAGAAAAAAAAAATATTTTAAAATTATATGTTATATAGTTAAATATTTATATAAGAATAAAATATTTAAATAATTACATATTATCTTTTTTTTACTTTTTCTAAATATACGTATTCATTTCAATTTTATTATATCTCTAACATTTTAAAATAATTGATTATGTCATTGAGATATTTTTTTTAAGAAAATTGTTATTATATATTATATATAATATATAATATATTAATATAAATATATAATGTAAGACTCGCAATCGCCTCCCCCACTCACAAATCCTCTTGTTCTCATTTTTCTCTTTCTTTCTTCCATTACGCTATTTTGATTCCTTTTCTTGGCTGAAACTTGGGTGTTGGTGTTTGATATGGAAGGTGGGGCTATTGAGAATCAAGGAAAGCAATAAGGCTAGTCTTACTCCCGACCCGAAGCAATTTCATTTCTCTTTTTCTTCTCTTCCCTAGAAGCTCGGAACCAGAATGCTTCTCCCTCCGAAGTAAGGGAAGTTAGAATTTGTTGATTTTGACACAAAATATTGTATTGTTGCAGCAAATTGTTGGTTGCATGTTAATTAAATTGGAGTGTGTGGAATTAGAAAGAGAGGTTTTGAGTTGTTTGAAGAATGTAATGGATTGGATCGAATTCTTGTTGCACGTGAGGTTTGTAATGTTTTCCTGAGTTGCATGTTAATGGTAGAACTGTTTTCTTGCAAGTGCAGGTGTTGGGTCCCTTTGGGTTGTAAGTTTTGATGGGTTTTGGGTGAAAAACATGTGGGAAGCCATGAAAGGGCATAAAGTTTAATCTAGAGCACTGAATTGAGTGTTGCGGTACTAGGATTAGATGACCGAATTTGGTCTTAGAATCTTCATGAAATTTTTATCCTTGGATGTTATATTTCCAATGGCACCTGAATCACCAAAAAAGGAGGTATGGAACTCTAGATATGATTGTTTTAGTGAACAGGGGTCAAGCTGCTAGCATTGGTTGTAGCTGTTGCGGTTTTTAAAATTTTTAACAATGTAGATGATAGAATTAGGACTTGATATCTTCATAAGAGTTGTAGAAAATATTCTTATCTTTAATATTAGATAAGGATGAGCATGATAGGAGTAGTATAACTCCAGATATGTCTATTTTAGTGAACAGGGGTCAAGCTGCTAGCATTGGTTGTAGCTGTTGCGGTTTTTAAAATTTTTAACAATGTAGATGATAGAATTAGGACTTGATGTCTTCATGAGAGTTGTAGGAAATCTTCTTATCTTTTATTTGAGCTAAGAACAAGAATGATAGGAGTAGTATAACTTCATTTATGTAGTTTTATGTGAAGGTTGCCATTTCACAATAAGTGATTTGGTTAAGTTGAAAATTGTTTTGGGTATTTAGGTTGATGTATGTTGTTTATATGTGTAAGTTGGCTTGATAAATGAGTTGTAAATATGTAGTATGAGTTGCATTTTGTGATGAAAATGTGTGTGCCGATATAAATGATAAAATGTTGAATAATGATGATTGTTGTAGTATGATGAGAAAACTATGTTGATGATTGTGTTGTGAAGTTGTGTAGTTATATTGGGATATTATATGAACAATGTTGATATGTCATTGAGATGCATGTTTAGCATAGTGTTGCAAATTAGCTGTGTAGTTGAGTAGTTGAGTAGAGATGATATGAGTTGAAAAGTTATGTGTTGACTGAGTTGTTGTTATGCTGAAAATATAATGAGATGTTGTGTTGTTATTTTGAGTTGTTAAGCTGAACTATGCTGATGAGTTGTGTGTTGATTGTGTTGGGATGATGAGTTGTTGATCACTAGGACTAGAGGAGATTTTTTCAAAGTTGTTCATCTCATTGTGTAGATTGAAATACTTGTGGTGCTCTGAGGGCCCAATTTGTTGAAAAACCCTCCTTGGAAAGTTGTCCCTTGAGTGGATGATGTGTTGTTCTCCTCTAGGACTTAGTTGATCCCGTGTGTGGGCAAGATCGAGGCACATGTGTATGAAGCGACAACGGTATAGGGACTAGGTCGAGCTATATTGATTACAAGCGACCAATTCGAGTAAAGTACGAAGTCGGGAACTTAGTTCCTAACCGAGTATCAGAGGGTTATAGTATTTGGAGGATAGTTAGTAGGCTAATCTCATATGTGGCTCAGTTGAGCTAGTTAATGTCGTGGTAGGCCTAAACCCAATTGTCTTATCCTGACATAGTACTATACTTCCTTGTTTAAGTGGTAAAGTTTGAGAAATTGTTATCGTGTTATGGATTTTTATCCAAATTTGTTATTTACCTAGCAAGCCCAAAAAGGTTCTGCGTTATCGGTTCGGTAGGACCTAGCCACTTAGACTCTTCACCCTGTGTTGTAGGAGATCTCTGAGTTGAAATGCCTGATGACGCATGTGCGTTGATGAGTTGTATGTGTTGATATGTTGTGAAGTTGTTATACAGTTATATGTTACCTATGTGTTGTGTGTTGCATGATGAATAAGTCACTCATGTTGATAATGATGTGTTGCAGATTGCTTTTATATTCATATGTTGTTTAAGTATTATGTGTTGTATGTTGAACAAGTTGATGAAGATGATGATAGTGATGCTAAATTGCTTTTGTTGTATATTTCATATATATGAGTTATTTATTTTCACTAGTTTATCCTTACATGTTTTCATGTAGTTTGGACTGCAATGATCATACAATGTATGGAAGCAGAGCAGGGATAGATTAGTGTTAGCTAATGGAGGTCACTTGGTGGCAGGAGCTGGAGAGTTATATTTTGTTGATTACCCTTAGTGGTAGAACTTATTTTGTAGGCAGTTGTATATATTTTATGGCCTGTTGAGCCACTACTGTTGGATGATTGTAGTTTTACTTATGTTGATTGATAGTATACTATTTAGTATATATATTTTCAGTTGATTTTAGTTGTTTTTTCGCAATGTAAGGACCAAGACAGGTCGTTACATATAATATTTTTATTTAATACTATATTTATTAAAACTTTGTTTATTTTTTACTATAATAATAATTATTTGATTTTTATTTTAAATATTTATTTAAAATAAATAATATATAATCAAATATATTGATCACTTAATTTACTATGATAAAGAGTTAGATAGGATTTATGATCTTCAATTTATTGTTATTTATTTTAAGTTTATTGTCTACTGGAAAAAATCTATATTAAGATAAAGAATTTATCCTTATCTTGTAAACTTAAGTCGGGAGAGACTTGTTTACATGTTTGTTCAGAAATATTATAAAAAAAATATTTGTTATAACATTTGATTAGTAAAACCTTTTTATTAAAGACGTAATTTAGTTGAGGAAATTAGTATAAAAATAAAGTGTTTCAAAGTTTCTTATCTTTTACGCTTTTTTAAACAAACGTTTTACAAACTTATAATTACTTTATTTATCTTTAAGTAAAAAAGGTTGTAAAAATTTACATACATCTAATCCCCTTACTTGTGTTTATTTCACATTCAAAGAGAAGAAAAAAAAAACACCAATAATTTATACCAATTCACTCTCAATCTTATAAAGTTACAGTCAAGTACTCAGCTACCCACTGAAATTTTCTACTAAAAATATCACAACCATAATTCAATATATTATCAACTTAAAAATTCCCGCAACAAAAACTATGATAATTCATGCATCGTAGTTAACTTTTTTTTTTTTTTTATCGGTAAATGTTAGTAATTAATAAATTATGTTAATTGGGTAAAGGGGTTCGAACCTCCGACCATCCTTATCCCTCCAGCCGCAGGACCACGCATCGTAGTTAACTAGTTGCTAGACATCCCCATGACACTTTTTTAGGAATAAAGATAAAGGATAATGGAAACTAAATATTATCCAAAATATATATTTTTTTGGTTCAAAGGAGTTTTGACAATTTCCTTTCAACACGATAATTAATTCGAACACAAAGAAAAACATATATTGTTTTTTCTTATTCATAAAAATGTTTTAATTGACTTTTTTAATATTATTATTATAAGTTTCAATAGGAATGATAATAGATAAGTTTGAATATGGTACTATATGACCTGTCTCTTAAGGTTGTGTCTATAAATTATGAGACCTAAGATATTGTTTATGTTCAAATCTTAATTTATTACATTTTTTAATTAAGCATGTGATTTTATTATTAACATTTTTTACCAAAAACATTTTTTTATACTAAGCATAAATTTGTACTCTATTAACTTCAATAATTTTTTTTAGGGTGAGGAGTGGTAGAATTCAAAAATATTTTCTTAACTTTTTATGTAAATAACAAGATTACACTTAAATAATTTAACAAAATATTTATATTTATATCTTATGATTATAAAGTTTGAATTATCTATATTAATATTTAAAGAGGATATCCCTTTTAGTAACTACCATACTCTTCATATTTGATAAATCATTATACTCTCTTATTATTTAAAATTAAAAAATTAATATTTTTAACAAATTCAAGACTTGAACTTATGACCTTGAGACTTAAGAACAAATTATAACACTAGTTGAAAAAACATACTTTTTATTTCTTAATCTCATTTTTTTTTAATTTTTAATAAAGACACGAAGTTCCTTGATTCCATTAGTAAAAATAATAGTAAATAACTCAACATATCATAATATAATTATCACATAATAATTCAAAATATTAATAAATAATTTGCTATAAATATAAATAAAAAATTGAGGCCTAAGGCTAGGGATGGCAAATATACCCGTACCCGCAGGTAATACCCGAACCCGTCCCGACTTTGACAAGGAATACCCGGTTTGACCGGGTACGG